TTCAAATTATTTTTTAGAATTCTAAATACCTTTAAAAGAAAAATTACAAAATGAGATTTGAGGATTCTTTCCTTCCCAATTGAATCACAATGGGAGAATCAAATGGATATCTTTGGTCTGGTGAGGCTTGAAGAAAATGAAATTTCCATTTACAATTTTCCTCAATTTGTTTATCAATCTTCTGAATTTTAATTACTTCATTTAAGTCTCGTGGACTTGTTATCTTTTCCAAGCATCAGGCTGACATGTTTTGTAAGTTTACTTTTCTTCTTTTGCGATCCACCCAATTTTAGCACTCTGGATTTAATTCCTTGCAATTTCCCTGTGTGCAAATGAGTAGCTACAATCAATCTCATGGCTTACAAATAGGACAAACGTTGCAAACATTTTGTAATTAGTCCCAATTTTCTCTTAAAGTTTATTTCAAATTAATTTCTCATACAAACATTAAAGAGTCGAAATTTGATTTTTAGTTAAAATCCTAAAAATTTATGAGAAATAAAAATCGCTTAGAATTGGTAATAATTAGATTTAAAGAAAAAAAAAAAACATATTTGACCCCGTCAAAATCGGGTTATGACGCCTAATAAAAAACATTTCCGCCCAAAGAAATTTACAACATTGATGTAGAGAAAAAAGTGATTTACTGCACATGGTGTGATTGTTTACTTCCCATATATACCTCATCAAGTCAAGGCATAGCAAGTTCACCGGAGATCAATAACATCAAACTTTAACCTGGGGTTCATATAGACGTGAGAACAGTGCTCGTAGATGGGGCTTCCATCTGATGATTCTTCGTGGGGATGAAACCCCCGTTGCTGACAATTACGAATAACAGACACACCACCTGGATCGGACAGATGAAATATACCATGTGGACTGCAACAGCACAGGATATTTGTTAGTATAGAAAAACCAAAAACATAATATCTTAGAGAACTGGGAAGGGACTACTTTGATTCGTTTCTGAAGACTCCTAATAAAATTTTCTGGTTTATGCCCTGTCAAGGAAGCAGCAGGCAATTCCACGAGATGGTGGTTTTCATTTTGTCCAATAGAGTTAACACAAAGAATACGGAATTTAAATGTTATGTAACTATTGGTGCTTTGGGATATGAAATGATATTTAAGAAGCATTTCAATAATCACAAACTAAAGTTATTTTCCAAGGTTTTGCATATGTATCTTTTTTCTTGAATAATGTTGTATAACATCATATGAATTAAATTTTAAGCAATCAATGTAAGAATCTACCTGGATGTATCGGTTGGGGCCATAACAATTGCGATCGCTTCTGGTAACATAATCTAAAAATAATCCAAAAAATGTAAATCTTTCAGTAAAATATAATATGAACACAGAGGAAGCTGAAAAAGAGAACAATATTTGCTCCAAGACTAAATTACCAAAGAAATAACATAAAGTTGTGACACAGTCAATGCTTTGCCAAACAACACAAACCCTCTATTGCCAAAAAGGAGAAAGAGAGAGAGAGAGAGAGAGAGAGAGAGAGAGAGAACTGTCTACCACCATATTTCATAGAAAGCAGTGCTCTAGTTTGCATCTTGTAGCAATCATTGGGGTTAGTCTTATGTGTTAATTTGTTGCCCATGTTTGATATATTCATTCATAATTTTAAAACTGCTTTACATGAAATAACTCTAGGAAAACTTATCAGAAAAAAAAAAGGGGGAAAATTACTAGTTTTCAAGACTTGGCAAATATTACCACAACTAAAGAATATTTTTTTCTCCACACCCCACAGAGTTTTCATTCTTGGAGATGGGAAGGAATACAACCAAGATACAACAGATAATAAAACCACTGGCATCTTAAAATTCCTTCCACTTGAGAATAAGAAATTTGTTACTGGAAACAGAAGATAATAACATAAACCAGGATATATAGCTGGGAATACTTCTTTTACCTGATATGAGTAATGAGTATGCAGATCAACTGATGACATGAAACAAGTCTGTGTTGGGTGTGTCTGAACATCAAAGAAAGAATCATCCAGCATGTAAGTACATTTGAACGGCATTTGCTAACAAAAGGCATTACCATGGCTAACATATAGCAACCAAGAACATGCAGGTTTTTTTCCATTTTTCTTTTGCTGCATCTAGAACATGCAGTTGACAACCAAGTTCCAGTAAAAAATAATCCCAGTTTTAAAACAATTCAAGTAAAGCAGAGCATATTCTTGCCTACTAAGTATTCATATTTGCAATATCCTATTTGAATATAAATGAGGAAGAACCATTAAACATTAGGAAAAGGGAAACTCATAACCAAATTAAACTAAACAAGTGCCCAATATCAAAAAGTATGATGCTCATTTATCAGAACTACATAGAAGCCCTATATTGGTGTAGTTCAGCTAACAAGCTGCAAAAGACAGGGAGGATCGGACAGTAACAAGATGAATAGATTATATATGAATGGTCCTACAAAAATGCAGGCTCATTATAACTCATCTAGTGCAAAACTAAAAAGCTTCCAATATCTTAAAGGTGCCATGCCACCTATGCCATTCAAGTCATGATCATCTATAAAAGAAGGGAACTAAGGAAATCTCCAACCCAAAAACTTAAAAATCCCCAGTTAAGTTTAAAATCAATCACTATCAAGGATAATACAAAAAATAATAAGATGAAATGGCTAAGAAAACAATATTGTGAAGAGAACCGTAACATGTCTTTACAAGTAAATGGATTTTCCAATCTTGACTCCATATTCCCAATCCCAATAGCAGGAGCATATACGGGAAAATTATGTCTGTGTGCAAACAAGCATGTGTAACAGCAAACAAATTGCAGCAAAATTCAAGGCTCATAAACTTACGTGAATCCAACCCAGTGGGAAAAGAGATAATCTGTCTTGAACTTCAAAAATTTCTTCTTCATTTAATGTCGAACACTAAACAATAAAAAGTATTTCAGTACTATCAAAATGGTCATAGGGTAGCAAACAAGAGGCAAGAGAGAGAGAGAGGGATATATTAAAAGGATATTATGCCATACCGTATCTGAAGTTGACTCCTGCTTTGGGATAATAAGTGTAGTGATTTGGAAAATCCTGTTTTTCTGCATTATAAAATTAAATTCATGTTCAAGCAACCAGATGTTCCAACTTCCAAGCACCTATTGCCTTTGCCCTCAAACACAATTTTTCAGTTTAAAAATTTCGTGACCTTACCAATGAACCAGCAAGAACACCACATGTTTCAAAATTTTTTTCTGTGTTTGCCCGAGCCAGTCTCAAGAAATCCTCCATCATACTTACAGGCTGTGTTGTAGGAACGTAAGAAGTTAAGAGAAAGCATCACAATGCTTGATACTTATAAAACAATAAGTCAGTAAGAACATGATGCCCCCAGCTGAAGGCCAACTTTATCACCAAATGTCATCAAGAAATAAGGGGGGAAAGAAAAAAAATAAATGGAGATGCCATACCACATGTAAATGTTGGTAAGAGTTAGTGCTTGGTTGTCCATCTTGAGAAGGCTTTGCTGGACCAGGTCTTGGATCTGCAACTTTTGATGGAGAAATTGGAGCATAATCCTGCTGCACTTCAGCAAGAACAGGAGGAGGCAAAGGTTGTTTGATACCAACAAACTGGAAAGGATCCTCCCTGGCTTCATTAATCAAGGGGGAGCATAACTCTTTGGCAGGATGAGACCATCTACCATCATCTAAGGAGAGAACTGACTCCATGGTAGAAGAAACACCTCCCAGATCACCAGCTTTCAGTGCCAGAGTACCACATTGGCCAGCCTGATTCAGGCTATAACCAGTTGTGACACCAAGCAGACAAAATGTTAAAGAAAATTTAGTTCAGCAGGAGAAGCCTAAAAATCGCAATGCATACTCTATCTTGAGTTTTTAGGATACAATGAGGAAAGTGTTGAATGAAAACAGATTGAATAAAAGATGCAGGAACATATAAATTCTCCAGCAAGTGCTACCTTGAATTTTCAGCAGGCATCAAGTCCATATTGCTTGGATATTGAACCTATATCACAAAACAGAATTGTTTATTTGATGCCATTTCTGCAATTAAGCACAAACAAAACAAAAGAAGAAGAAGAAGAAGAAGATAGGACACCAGGGAAAGGAAGGAGTGAGGATATTGGAAATAATTTTACTTTTATCTCCATGCTTGGTGCATGCCACTTGCCTCGAAGACCATTTGGGCCTAAAATGGAGTGCCTAGACAGTGTTTCTTTGTTTGGAGGAGGCAGGTTAAGAGACCTGAACACATTCAGGAACAGATATTACATGTTAGCACAAGAGAGAAACTGTTCGAAGTGTTATTATTTGAATTCCAATTTTTTGGCTTTTTTTTTTTTTGAAAGTTTGTGAATATCTTGACATCCACCAATTAAAGAGCCAGACAGACTAGAATCAATAAGAAATTAAACTCAATTCAAGGATCAAATATAGAAGAGCAAATAGAAATACACTTAATGGGGTTCCACAAAAGAAGGATCTAACAAGTCAACTGTGGCTTTCTGCAACTCAATGCTGGTAAAGGTTGCACTTCCAAAAATCTTTTATAGTAATAAGAACTTTAAGAAGTAAACCTCAGGGCATGCCTCCAAGGTTATATTTTCAGGGCTTTCATAAAGTATTAAGGAGGGGGAAGCTCAAAGGCTGGCCGGCATGCTTGACAAGTTAGGAAGTTCTTATGTCAGTTATCCTTGTTTTGCAAGCTGTCAAGAGTGCTTTAAATGATGTAAAAGAGATTAGAAGACAGGAAATGACGTGAACTGAAACATGGTAAAAGCTAAGAAAGAGTAGCCTTCAAAATATGTATGTTTTCTCATCAAAAACAGATCAGTTACCGTAATTTCAATTACTCAACACAATAGACATATACCTTCTATTATAGCAAATAAGAGATACAAAAAGCATACCTAACCATAATACATCTGACTCATGCCTTTCTTAGATAATTTTTTTTTTTTTTTTAAATCAAGATAAAGCCTTAAAGTCAAACAAGAAACATAGAACAGAATCAAATTTACATCAATTACTCATTACTAGCAACCACCATAAAAAAATAAGCTCATCTCAACTGCATGATACTATTCTTGTGGCTTGCAAAGAGACATATAAAGGTCTCACATCTATATATGAAAAATGCATCATTAACAACAATAAAGATATAACTCACAACTTCTGGAACTGCTTATCAAACTGGGTCATGCTTGAAAAATTAAATTGACTCTGGTCACCATTATACTTCTGTGAAGATTGAATAGCCACATTGGCAGGCTGCAGCAATATAAAATGGAAAAAGTTGAATTTAAAACCAAGATGTATTGCAACTTCATCACAAAATTTCACATATATCATGACATATTACCCTCTTACTATCCATGCTTGACATAGTTCCTCTATTGACAGCAGGCCATTCTGAAGAAGATGATGTAACCAAGCTACCTGATGTCCTATCTTGGCCATCAAGTTCAAGCAGTTGAGCCCCAGCTTGAGCTTCATTCAGTTCATCCACTCGGCGGAGAAACTCTGGTTTCAAAGATTCAAGTTCATCAAGTACAGCTAACGGTCTCTGCAATGACATATCTCACAGACAAAACATTAAGACATCAACAAATACCCAGTGATGAACTAATATCACAGAGCAACTAGAAAAACAATTACACCTCTAACCTCACCTTCTTATAAGTTACTTTTTCCTTCGGTAATAAAGCAGGGTAATCCCGATGGAATGGTATAGTTTCAGACACCAAACTGAGAACAAGAAGATCAAGAACAACAAATTAATACAATGAATTCAATAACATAATAAGAAAAATGGTAGCAATACGGTTTTCCTACCTTGAATATCTTAATAGTATTATGTACAAGTCCACAATATTCTTTTCCTCTCGGTAAATATTTGCCTGAGAAATAAGACAAAGACGCGCTGAGTACCACTGAAACAAACACTGACAGAATGAACATAAATTCATCTAAAGAACACACTATTCACATTAATTCACGATAATCCTGATAGACTTTCCTTTTCAGCATATTTCAGTTGTAGAACTATGAAACTCCGCACATTACATACTAAGTTGGAATCATAACAAAACTAAGACGGAATCATAAGGAGACAATGCTAGAAAAATAACCAGAACTCATAAAGACTTGCAAATTCAAACAGAAAATAGCAACCAATTCAGCTTCAATAGCAACAAAAACATCAAAATAAAGATTCTAGAAAAAATAAATAAAAACCTCTATCAATCAGAAAAGTTCGTGATGAAATGAAAATTGTTCTTTTCTAAAATCAGACTAAAATTATTCACTACGAGAACCAAAATAAAATCGAAATTGCGAATGGAACCTGTTTGAGGAGATTATCGGCGATTCGGTAGTAATAACGAAGAGGAATCCGATTATCGACATCCACTTTTGGAGCGACTGCATTGACGTTGATCCTCATCTTCTACTGCTCCTCCCTCTTCTTCTCCGGCGAGGAATTGAAGTTTCTCTCGAACTCAGATCAAATTCTCTGGCGATTGGGTGGAGTCCCGTCTCCGTCGGTATGAAATATGAATCAATGCTTGACCCTGCGAACGAATGTAGGAGAAGTTCGTCGTTTTGATTTCTTCCCTTTATGTCGACATTACGAAGGCGCAGAGGGAAAGCGATTGCATACGGTCGAGAATAATTTATTCCTCTGCAAAGAGCCAATCAGGTTATGACACGTAATATTCAGTGTGCTTGCGTTCACGAAGTGAATAACATGAGAAGAGCGGACTTTTGTGAATTATTGCAATGGTGGTCCTCGCACTATTTATAATGTTCAATTTTGTTCTCAAAACTTCTAAAAGCTTGAACTCGTCCCCGTTGTGTTCAATTTGGTAAAATACTTCTGGATAGTTAAAACTTGAAATCTACTGGGTTACTACTATAATAGACTTTGGTATTTATTAAACTTTATAATACTCTCAAGTAAAGAATATGGAATGAGCTCCATGTATTACTATTTAAATTGTATTTAATTACTAAATATAAATATTTATTAGATGAGAAATAAACCTCAATAATAAAAGACTCACTCATTCAATAATTTACGTTATACAACATATAAATATAAACCTAAATTAAAAATAAATTTGAGATGCAAAATATTTTTATATGGAATATATTATTTTGATATTTTCATTGGTACCTTGTTAAGTTTGGTTTGATTTTGATCAAAGGTTAGTAATTCATAGTCTAATATTTTGGGAAAATTTATAAATGACAAATAATTCAACCTTAAAATAACCTAAAATCAAATCATCTAAAGACTAAAGTTGTCAAAAGATTAACGCACAACATTTTTTCATTGTGTGTATCGACCGTGTGACTCAAGTGGTCATGCTTTTTTTAAAAAGTAAATTGATGATACTTAATGATATGAAATTCGAGTTCTAAGT